AGTGCGGGTGACCCCCGGTGGGGTCAAGTGCGGGTGACCCCCGGTGGGGTCAAGTGCGGGTGACTCCGGTGGGGATATGTGTGGATGACCCCCGTGGGGTCAAGTGTGAGTGACTCCGGTGGGGTCAAGTGTGGGTGACTCCAGCCAGGCCGGCGGACCCCTCCTCTCCCTGGCTCACGTGTGGTGGGGAGGCCCTTGGGACAGCAGAGGCGAGAGCAAAGGTCCGGCACTTGCAGGTGCTGCACCTCGCGTATTTTTATTTTGGTGCGCAACTCTTTACCGCTCACGTTTGTTTTTATTTTCCCGCTTCATTTTAATTTCGCGGGATTGCCATTATTTTTTTTTTTGCTCCCATCAGTGCCCCCCCCCCGCCCCGCCCACTACGGCACTTGACTTATTTATTTTCGCGTTGAATTTATCAGTGGGGGTCTGCGGGGGTGGGGGGCTCGGCATGCCACTCGTTACCCTAATTGGCTTCTCTGTGCGTCGCAAGTTTGCCGCGTCAAAGTTGGGAGGGGGTGGACGGGCGGGTGGTGGTGGTGGCGGCGGCGATGGTTGACGGGCGCTCGCCGGCGATGTCGCTCGCGTTTAAGGCGGTGGTGCCTCCGGCTCCGCGGTTGTGGACCCGACTGGCGGTGTCGAGGCCAGGAGGTCAAGTGACATCTCCCACTCGGCGCTGTCCGATGGGATCACGCCGCCGCCATCGTGCCGCCAGCAAACTGGCGCGGTTAAAACCGCAGGCGGTCGCGTGCCGCGGTGTGTGTGTGTCTGTGGGTGTGTCTGTGTGTGTCTCTGTGGGTGTGTGTCGGTGTGTGTCTCTGTGTGTGTGTGTTTGTTTGTGTGTGTGGGGAGCGGTGGTGTAGCAGTTAGTGTGCTGTGCTCCGAACCCGGCGACCCGAGTTCACTTCCTGCTCACGGCCAACACCGGTGACGATTATCTGAACTGGTCTCGGGCCTTCCCTAGGTCGACTCAGCCTCAAATGAGTACCTCATGTATTGTGTAAGCATCGCCACTGGGGAGACAAAGGCGGCCGGGCGTGGTGCTAGCCACCCACTCCCCTCATGTGCCGTACCGGCCTTCAGAGGTGATCGCTAACAGCACTTGCTCTTACGGTCTGTCAAGGCTACACGGGGGATCTTTGTCTTTGTAGGTGTGTGTGCTTGTGTGCACGAGGAGTGGTAGTGTAGCGGTTAGCCGCGCTGTTGTACAAACCCGGGGAGATCCGAGTTCGATTCTCGCTCACGGCCGACAACAGTGGCGGATGTCGTGGCCGAGGCTGGCCGTCCCCAAGGTGGACTCGGCCTTAAATTAGTACGTATTTACTGTATGTACTATATGCATGTTGAACTTCTTTCACACCGCACGTAGCCAACCGTGGCAATCAGATGCGCGGCTTTGGGAGAGGAGATGATGGCTCCGAGTCTCCTGTGAACGGGCGATGAGGTGTCCCCGATGATTGCCCCTCCACTCTGGTCTGTTACCACGGAAACCCCCCCACCACCACCAGCAGCTCTCCCTCGCCACCCCCCGCGTGTTCTCGCTACCCGGAGCAATGATCTATGACATGGTAATAACCATTATGTGTTAAGAAACAAAAGTGTGTGTGTGTGTGCATATTCTGTGTTGACTTGCACCTCTTGCTCCCAAACGCGTTGTCCGACTCGACTCGCGCGTCGTTTGCGTGGCTGTTAGACTCAAATGTGGAGCTCGCTTGCTTCTACGCCTGCGCCGAACGTGTTTTTCTCGTGGCACCTCTGCTCTCATCATATTTGCCCACCGGGTATTTAAAAAAAAACGATTCATTCTCGTGCGGTTCGTTTTTGACGGGCAGTTCGGCTGCACTCCTTCTCTGCATTGTCGACGCCTTTGTCTTTAAATTTCGATGTAAAGCTTCTTTCGTGACTGCAGGGATTCATATTATTGGTTCTTTCGGTAAAGTCACGTAGAAGGGAAATAATAAAATAATACAAATTTTAAATAATACAATTCTCACGACGTTTCGGCCACAACGCAAGCAGCAGTTGTGGCCGAAACGTCGTGAGAATTTTATAATGTTTTATTTTTATTATTTCCCTTCTACGTGACTTTACCGAAAGAACCAAGAATATGAGTCTTTGTCTTTGGTAGAAGCTTTTTTGTTTGGGTTAGATCGCGTAAGATATCAAACGGTACTCGAATTGTAAACGTTGTAGTGGGTTTACTCTGCAACACACAACCGGTGTGCGTGGACTAGTAACGAATTGGCACGTTCTGTTTACGTGGCAAACCTTACTCATCGGCTGTATCGGGTGGTGGCGGCGTTAACGTCACATTTATATATTTACGCGATCTAATTTCTGCTATGGATAATAGTGGTCGTAAAAGCCTACTGAGTTTTAAACTCACTGACCGCCTTGGTTGCTGCTGCTGCTGCTGCTCCCGTGTCAAATATCCCGGGCGACCGGCTGCACGGGACCCCAACAAATCGTCGGTGCACGCTCGGGATGAGATCGTGTGGGGCAGAGAGAAAGAGAGAGAGTTGGGGGGGGGGGGGGGAGACGTGGATTAGAGGGGAAGCACAGGTTGATGACGTCAACCAAACTAAAAGTGGGTCCTTGGGCAGGACGCGTCGCGGCGACTCGCCCAGGAGCGTGAACCGCGCAGCGGCAGCGGGGGGCAGGCGGGGATGGGGCCACTAAATCTTTGCACAGATGGGAATAAACCCACTTGCTGTACTATCGTAATCTGGCCATGAGCCAGGAAATCGTTTATTTTTTTTATGTTACCAGCTAAGGCTCACTGAGCTACACGCGTAGCGCTTTTTCAGAAGCGACCTGGCTATCCACTAATGATGGCTCAGCGAAGTAGCTTGTCGTTACGTGGAGACAAAAATCCACTTGACCACGGGGAGAGAGAGAGAGAGACGCAAACTCCAAATATACAGCAGCAGGCGTCGGGGTCGGAATCGAACCCACGACCTCCTGAAAACCAGGCGAGGTAGTTGACATCTCCTAGTTACCGCTGTGCCCTGGGCTTGACCCCTGACATCTGACCCCGAGCATGTTCCCCGTTGACCCCTGTGACCCCGCGGTTTTCCCGAGGGCGACGCCGGTGATTTTTTTTTTTTACCCAGAAACTACGGCAAATAACCCAGCCGGAATGCGGATGGCATTCCGTGAAGGCGGCAGTAATATTACTCGTCATGTAATGAGAAGGGGGCAGCGATAGGGGCAGTGATGGGGCAGTGATAGGGGCAGTGATAGCGGCAGGGATAGGGCTTGGCATGGTCGTAGCTGGGGGGTGGGGGTTAGGCGTCGGCTGATCACCGCCGCCGCGTTCATCCGAGGCCTCTCCGGCGGGCGAGGCTGGAGGCCACTCATCACCGCGTCCTGCACGTGGCCGCCACCACCAGGGTGCTGGTGGTGAGGGGTGCGGGGGAGGGGACTGCTGATTGGTCAGTGATGAATGAATAGTGTAGGTCTTTACCCGCAAAATCGAATTGTTTGATATAAACGTGCACGGCATGGGGGGGGGGGGGGGGGGGGGGGGGTTGTGTTGGTGGATGGGGCAGGGGGTCCGGGTGACCCGGCGAGGTGCTGGTGACCCGGCGCTGGAGAGAGCGGCATCTGAACTTGAATTCCACCAAGATGATCCGCTGGCACGCAGGAGCGAAAACTTCGGGGCGGTCCGGCCCGGGTGACGTGGTGTGCCGGGGGGGGGGGGGGGGGGGAGCTCGAGAAACGACATGAGAGTGAAGTTCTGTCATTATTTTATTATTTTAATATTTTATTTTAACGCGCCATTGCGACGCTCCCAGCACCGCGTTACATAACGGCTCCTCCTGTCGTAACGCAGCCCGGCAATAAACTACGCGGCGGCCATTCCCTGACTCCCCGCCCACCCGCCCGCCCGCCCCACCCACTTGCTTTCTAACGAGCAAGGTTATAATGACATTCCTGCCGCTTTGGTAATGACTTAATTGAAATAGAATTTAAATGTCTGATTTGCATAATTGGCCAGGCCGTGGTACAATGGGAAATCATTTCTCAAAGCAGTCACTCGCTCTCCGGCGCTGTCGTTACGGGATTGGGATAATTCATTTTTTTCCCTCCCCACTTACGCTCCGTGTAAATGTTGACGGATCGCCGTCGGCCGTAAACAATGCGTTCGCGGTTCCCCTGACAACGCGCCGGCGTTGGCGGTGTTTACCGTGTCGCCGCATCACAACGGCAGCGGCGACGACGACAACAACAATAATTGACGTGTGCCAAGTGGCGCATTTCATCCGTAGGTCGCAATGCGCCACTCCTGTGCAAGGGAGGGCAGGCGATAAATAGAACCTGCGGGGTAAATGGCCAGAACTTAAACTGGAAACATTTATAGCAGCCACGTAAAGTCCAACTGAGCCATGTGACTCTTTTTCAGAAGCGACGTGGCCATCACAAACGATAGCGCAATGAAAGTGGTTTCTCATCATCATCATCATCATCGCGTGATGTTGATTCTAAATGTGGAGGGGAAAACGGAGGGCCGGAGGACCGGAGAAAAATCCACCCAACCACGGGGAGAGAGACGCAGACTCCAAATATACAGCAGGCGTCATGAGGGTCGGGATCGAACCCACGACCACCTGTATACCAGGCGAGGGAGTTAACATCTCCTAGCCACCGTGTGTGTTTAGTGTCTGATACTGGTGAGACTAGGCCATAAAGAAGCCTGCCTCTGGTGGAGACCAATCAGTTTCAAAGACGATGCAAGTTTCTTATCGGAGCGCGTTGGTTTGCATGCTCACCGCACGTACTTTGTGTGATTCCTTGCAAAAGGTTTCTATTTGGTGTTTGAACATCTGAACACCTCCTGTTTTAGTGGCAGAAAGGGTAAATCACCTGTAATAATTTTTGTCATAACTGCGTTTAGTTTGTTGTCTTTCCCCCGCACCTCCGATGAGCACGGTGACATTTTGATACGCACAATCTATCAATCAATTGACCCCCCCCCCCCCACACCGCTTGTATCCCAGCGTTCCTGTCGGAGGATGAGCTGCTGCAATCTGGGAATGACGGAGAGGACGAGGAGAGGTCGGAGGTCAGCGACTCGGGCGCCAAAGACGACTCCGCCTCGGAGCTGCCCGAGGCGCCGCCAGCGCCGGCGGGTGGCGGAGGAGGAGCCGATCCTCCCCGGACGGACGAGGACTGCAACGGGCGCGCGAAGCGAGCTGGCGACACGGTAGCGGTGGCGGCGGCGCCGGCAAAACCCCTCCGCAAAGACTCGACCGACGCGGGCGCCGGCGAGGCCGGCGGCACCGGCGCCGTGGTCTCCGACGGCGCCGAGGACCCGGCGAAATCCGACCGCGGTGATGAGAAAAAGGGGCGGGCGGAGGCGGAGCCCCGGGCGCGCGACGCCGGCAGGACAGCGCCGTCGCTCGGGGAGAAGCGGCCGGCGCGGCCCGACGAGCGCAAGGAGAACGGCGCCGACGGAGGCCTGGCGCGGGAGAGCTTCGCGCACATGAAGGCCATCTACGCCAGCCTGCTCTCCCACCCCTACTGGTCCACCGTGGGCTACGGCCACGGCCCGCCGGCGCTCGGCAAATCTGGCGGCGGCGGCGCAAACAGCGGCGTCAACGCCGACAGATACGGCGGCGGCGGTGGCGGGGGCGGGGGGGGCACCGGGGACGGCGGCGGCGCCTTCAACTGGCACCGTGCGGCGGTGGCGCGGACTATGCAGCAGCACGCCGGGACTCCCGGCAAGCACGCCGAGTCGTCGTCGGCGTCGTCCGCGGGGACCGGGGGGCCCGGCGTGGCGCGTGCGGCGGCGCACGCGACGGGCGGGCGGCCCAGCCCGCCGGCGGCGACGGGCGCCAGCAAGTTCCGGTGCAAGGACTGCAGCGGCGCGTACGACACGCTGGTGCAGCTGACGGTGCACATGAGCGAGACGGGCCACTATCGCGACGAGAACGTCGACCGCGACGGGCACCGCGACCGCCGCTGGTCCAAGGCGCGCAAGCGCTCGCTGGTGGACATGGAGAGCGAGCGGGAGGCGCAGAAGGTGCTCAAGTGCATGTGCTGCGGTCACTCGTTCGAGTCGCTGCAGGACCTCAGCGTGCACATGATCCGCACGAAGCACTACCAGAAGCTGCCGCTCAAGGAGCCATTCTCGGCCGCCGCCGCCGCCGGCGCGGGCCACGCCGCCAGGCCCGGCCCAGCTGTCAAGAAGAAGGCGCAGGCCGACGGGCACCGCCTCGGCGATGCGGGATCAGAGCGCAAGGGCGCCGGGTCGGCGCCGTCCTCCGACCGCGCTTCGCCGGCGGGAAAGGCCAAGCCGGGGCAGCAGGGAGCGCCGTCGAACAGCCGGTGCGGCTACCAGAACGGCGCGAGCTACGCGTGGCAGTTCGAGGCGAAGAAGTCGCAGATCCTCAAGTGCATGGAGTGCGGCAGCTCGCACGACACGCTGCAGCAGCTGACGGCGCACATGATGGTGACGGGACACTTCCTTAAGGTCACCAGCTCCGCGCTCAAGAAGGGCAAGCACGTGGCCTTCGAGCAGCAGCAGCCGCCCCCGGCGCCGCCGTCGCACGACGCCAAGGTGCAGGCGGTGCAGCCGCTTCCGAGCAGCGTCGCCGTGCCGACCACCGCCTGCGCCGCCGGCGCCGCCGGCCACAAACCGCCGGCGCCCGCCGCGACGGAGGCGCGCCCCAAGCCTCCGGCCTCCCCGTCCGCGTCGCTCCCCGGGCCGCCGCCGTCCCCGCAGCAGGCGCCCAACGGGCCCCCGGCGTCCCCGTTGTCGCGCTGCCCCGCCCGCAGGACGTCGCCCGCGGGGGGCGGCCCCCGCGACGCGCCGGCGGCCGGCGGGGGGAGCCCCCCGAGCTCGCCCGCCCCGACGCCGCCGGCGGCGTCGCCCGCCAAGGACCCAGCGGCGGCGGTGGCACAGCGGATGCCGGACGAGGCCTCGCGCGGAGCGGCGGACAAGGAAGACGGCGGCGGCGGTAAGAGCGCGAGAGAAGGGAGCGGCCGGGGGAGCGCCGCCGGCGGTTGCACGGGCGGGGAGGGGGAGCCGTTTTCGCGGTACCTGCGCGAGGAGGACCTGGGCAGCAGCAGCGGCGCTGCAGCCGGACGCGACATCCTCAAGTCGCTCGAGAGCATGGTGTCGTCGGCCATCGACAAGGCACAGAACGGCGCTCCCAGCTGGGGCGGCTACCCCAGCATCCACGCCGCCTACCAGATCCCCGGCCTGGTGCGGCCGGGCCGGCCCGACGAGCCGGCCAAGGAGCTCCTAGCTCCGAAGGTGGAGCAGCAGCAGCAGGAGCAGCTGCACCAGCAGCAGCAGCAGCAGCTGCAACAGCAGCAGCAGCAGCTGCACCAGCAGCAGCAGCAGCAACTGCAACAGCAGCAGCAGCAGCTGCACCAGCAGCACCAAAAGCAGCAGCAGCTGCAACAGCAGCAGCCGGCGCCGACGACGACAGCCGTAGTGGCTGCACCGGAGCCGGGGACTGGCGGAGCGAGTGCGCAGCCGGCGCCACGCAGCAAGGTGCACGCGATGGAGGAGCTGGTGAAGAAGGTGTCGGGGAACATCCAGAAGGCGGAGGAGAGCCGGACGCGCGCACGGGTAAAGTCGCCGCTCGTCGCCGTGCCCGCCGCCGCCGCCGCAGCCGCGGCGAAAAGCGAGGGCGGCCCGGACGTGAAGAGGGCACGGAGCTCGGCGAGGGGCAGCAGCCACAGGCATGGGGGGGACGGCGCGCCGGCCAAGAGGAGGGACGCCTCGAGGAATACTCACAAGGAGGCGGGCGCCGGCGGCGCCGGCGGCGCCAGCGAACAGGGCAAGAGTTTTCCGGCGGTAAGCTACCAACCGCCCGAGAAGGCGCCGGTGAACCCGCTGAGCGCGCTGCAGTCCGTGATGAATGCCCACCTGGGCAAAGTGGCCAAGCCGACGGCGCCGGTCACCGACCCCATCTCCATGCTGTACAAGATGAGCAGCGGGCTGCTGGACAAGCTGGTGGCCGCCACGCCGCCCGCGCAGGCGCGGAGCTCCGAGCCGCTGGAGGCGTCGTTCTACCGGCAACGCCGGCGGCAGGAGGACGGCGGCGGCGTTGGCATCAGCGGCGTCGGAGGCGTTGGAGGCGTCGGAGGCGGGTCGTCGGACCAGCCCATCGACCTCACCAAGTCGGCGAAGGGCGACGCCAACGGGCAAACGGACGGCCGCGTCACGCCGACGCCCGGGCGCCAGCCGCCGCCGAAGCCGCCTCGCGCCCCGTCCAGCACCGACTCGGAGAGGTCGGACGCGGGCGGCGGCGGCTGCAGCGGCGGCGGCAGCGGCAGCGGCGGTAGCAGCGCGACGGAGGAGGCGGACGACCCGGCCAACGGGCGCAAGCGCAAGGGGCGCCAGTCGAGCTGGAACCCGCAGCACCTGCTGCTGCTGCAGGCGCAGCTGGTGGCTGGCCTGCGGAGGAGCGGGGACGGGAAGTACGTCGTGCCGGACCTGAGCAGCAAGGCGCGCGCCAGCGTCGCCCGGCTGACGGGCGTCGGCGTGACGACCATCAGCCACTGGCTGGCCAACGTCAAGTACCAGATCAAGAAGAGCGGCGGCACCAAGTTCCTCAAGCACATGGACACGGACCACCCGGTGTTCTACTGCGCCGGCTGCGCGCTGCAGTTCCGCTCGCCCGCCGCCTACGTGGCCCACCTGGAGTCCCACCTGGGCTTCCAGGTGGGCGACCTGCCCGGCGTGTCGGAGGAGCGGCTGCGGGAGTGGGCGTCGCGCGGGAGGGCGCCGGCAGCCGCGGCGGACGACGACGACGGCAGCGGTGGCGGCGCCAAAGCGGCGCCGGGTGGCAGGAACGAAGGGGGGGAGGAGGAGGCGGAGGAGGCGGCGGCGCTGGCGTTGCCGGTGAGGGGCAGCGACGGGTGCGGGCGGGGGTCGAGTGACGGAGACGGCGGCGGCGGCGGTCGCGCCGTCAAGCTGACGAGGAGCCGTGCTCACCACGGCAGGAGCGGGGGAGGAGGAGGCGGCGGCGGCGGCAGCGGCGGTGGCCAGCGGACGACGTCTGCTGATAACGGGAAGAACTCGTAGCCAAGGTGAGAGGAGCGCGCTTGTGTGTGTGTGTGCGTGCGCGCGCATGTATGCGTGCGCGTGTGCGGAGAGCGGTGGTGCAGTGGTTAGCAGCGCCGCGCGACAAATCCAGCGACCCCGAGTTCAACTCCCTGCCTCCCTCCCGACCTCCCGCCCTCCCGCCCGTGCTCCCCTCTCTCTGAATCGCCTTCCCCTGGCTGTCCCGCGGCCTTCCGTGCTCCCGTGCCCTGCCCGGCACGCGACGGCATCTCGGGTGCCGAGTGTGAGAATGGGTGTCCGGCAGCTGGATGCGAGCGTTCAGGTTGCGCTTGTGCGGCCGTCTGGAACGCCGCTCTCCCTCTCGATGTTAGGATGCCGCTGGAGCTATGACCTCGTCCATTATCTCGATTGGAAACTCGCGTCTCGAGAATTGCTTCTTGTGCTCAGTTTGTTGTCCGTCACCCCGCACCTCCGATTAGCACGGTGAGCTACGTACGGTGCAAAAGAAGTTCAACATATGTACATACAGGCTCTACGGTCCAGATGTTTTCACCTACCCACTCATTCACCCGCTCACCTGCTTCACTCACCTACTCACCCACCTCTCCCACCTACCTACTCGCCTACCCACTCATTCACCAACTCACTCGCCTTCTCACCCACATCGCTCACCTGTGTGCTGAGTCTATGGGTCTGTGTGTGGTTAGTTTGTGGGTCGCTGTGTGGTAAGTCTGTGGGTCTCTGTTTGGTGAGTCTTGGTCTATGTGTGGTGAGTCTATGGATCTCTGTGTGATGAGTCTATGGGTCTCTGTGTGGTGGGTCTGTGGGTCTATGTGTGCTGAATCTGTGGGTCTATGTGTGGTGAATCTGTGGGTCTCTGTATGGTGAATCTGTGGGTCTCTGTGTGGTGAATCTGTGGGTCTCTGTGTGGTGAGTCTATGGGTCTCTGTGTGGTGAGTCTATGGATCTCTGTGTGCTGAGTCTGTGGGTCTCTGTGTGGTGAGTCTGTGGGTCTATGTGTGGTGAATCTGTGGGTCTATGTGTGCTGAGTCTGTGGGTCTATGTGTGCTGAATCTGTAGGTCTCTGTGTGGTGAGTCTGTGGGTCTATGTGTGCTGAGTCTGTGGGTCTATGTGTGCTGAATCTGTGGGTCTCTGTGTGGTGAGTCTGTGGGTCTATGTGTGCTGAGTCTGTGGGTCTATGTGTGGTGAGTCTGTGGGTCTATGTGTGCTGAGTCTGTGGGTCTATGTGTGCTGAGTCTGTGGGTCTCTGTGTGGTGAGTCTGTGGGTCTCTGTGTGGTGAGTCTGTGGGTCTATGTGTGCTGAGTCTGTGGGTCTATGTGTGCTGAGTCTGTGGGTCTCTGTGCGAGTCTTTGTCCCGTATGTATTTTGAACTTTCGCACCGTACGTAGCCAACTGTGGGCGGTGTGAGGTGCCGGAAATTGGACGTGCAACACGGCGGGGCCCGGTTCGAATACAAGCACCATTGGCCCCTGCCGTCGCCGGTGCCGTCGCCGGTGCTGACGCGGTCGCGAGATTATCGCGCGATCGCGGTCGCTAGATCGTCCCTCTCCGCCCCCCCCCCCCGCCACCCCCCCCCCCCCCGGGAGATTCTTCGGGGTTTCGGTGGAGCGTCCGTCTCGCTCTCGCCGATCGCGCCGAGTTCGCCGTCAGCTCGCGGCCGGTGGCGCGGCGCGGCCGGGTTCCCCGTGGGGGCTCCCCGTGGGATTTGTCCCCTTTGTGAAAGTATTCGTGGCGACTCGCCCCATCGCTGGCTCGGAAAAGTCGCTCGCTCGTCACGCCGGAGTGTTTTGTTCGCTCTGAGGCGTTACGCGTAAATCTCCCCCTACTACACAATGCGTTTACTTACAGAAAGACAAAGATCCCCCGTTTAGCCTTGACAGACAGTCGGGGCAAGTGCTGTTAGCGAGCGCCTATGAAGGCCAGCACTGTGGTACACGAGGGGGTGGGTGGCCTGCACCATGCCCGGCTGCCTTTGTCTCCCCAGTGGCGATGTTTACACACCGTACCAGGTACTCATTTGAGGCTGAGTCGACCTAGGGGAAGGCCATGACCGGTTCAGATAATTATCTCGAAAAACTATTTGTATTACTTCAGGATAAATACATGTTAATTTTGATTCATATGTTGTTTTTTTCTGACTTTATGTGAACGAAAAGACACAAATTCGCCCGTTTTCTCATTTAAAATAGGTACATTTCAAAATATCACTGTCCTGGTCACGAAAGTAAAGTTTGTGGGGAATAATAGCCATTTTGTTTACTTTTTAGGCATCAGCAGTTATGCAATAACACTTACTACCCAGCAACAAAAATTGTGTTAGACCGTCTAATCGTCACTGGTGTTGGTGGCCATGAGCGGCAATCGAACCCAGGTCGCCGGGTTCTATTCCCGACCTCCCGCCGTAGCGCGGCGCCCTGGTGGTGAGCTCGGGTGGGGGGTGGGGGGGGTGGGGGGCACGGGAACGGCCGTGATTGGGGGGCCGACGTCCCAACATGGTTGGGAACCGCCGGCCTAATGCCTCCATGCTGGAGAGGCACGAAGTCCCCGAGCCCCCTCCCTCCCACCCTCCCTCCCTCCGCTGGTGGCACCAGCGCGTGCAGCCGGTTCATCAGCTGACCCTTAAGCCAAGCAAACGGGAGCCCTGCCCCTTTCCCCCACCACCGCCGCCATCACCACAATCACCATCGCCATCACCATCGCTATCACTACCGACTGCCACTGCCATCACCACCAACCACCACCGCCATCACCACCATCGCCATCATCACCATCGCCATCACAATCGCCATCGCCACCGCCATCGCTACCGACTGCCACCACCGCCATCACCGTCACCACCGCCATCACTGCCGTCGCGAGTGTCGCTCTCTCCGCGCCGAGCCCGGGCCCTCCCGGTGGCGTGCGCGCCTCCGCGTGCCGGTCCCTCGCCGTAATTGTCACCGTTAATTGACAACCCGCGGCGTGGCGGGGCCCCGCTGCCGTGACGAGCGGTGGCGGCGAGGAGGGAAAAGGAAAAAAACCCGACGCTCTGCGGCACAAATTGCCGACATAATGAGATGACATTGTCTGCACCTCCCCAACCGCGCGCACCTCCCCCCCCCACCCCCCCCCACCCCCCCCCATCCGCGTGTCGCTGCCGCAATCAGCCAGCCCCTCCATCCTCCCCCTGCGCTTGATGAGCCGTCTTCATCATCGCTCGTCGCGCGAGCAAAATAATATTTGAGTGGTTTTCTTTTGGGGGGGGGGGTGGAGGGGTGGGGTTGGGGGGTGATGGGGGGGGCCGTCACCGTCACCATCGCTGACGATTGTGAACCGGCGTGAGCCGATCTGATGAACCTCATCAATTATTGAAAGCCCCGAGCCACGTCACCGAAAAAAATAATCATCTAAAAAAGTTTCATTGTTGCGAGAGAGTGAGAGTGAGAGAGAGGGTGAGAGAGAGAGTGAGAGAGAGGCATTGCAGCCCTTTTAATTTCGGTGCCTCGAGGAGACATGAGAAGGTGATAATCACCAAAGAGGAAAGGAGAGGTCATTAACACCTTTGGCAAAAGCAATATTCTGAGCTGTGGGTGGCACCATTAACAAGCAAACAGCATTTCCCATTCAATTACACCGCCCCGCTAATGTCGCCTCGCACGGAGGTGCGTTGTCAGCCCCGTCTGAACGAGACGCGCCGCGCCCACAGATTAACCCCTCCGTGCGCCGCGCTGGCGGCGCACGCCGGTTCTCTCCGGCGGGCGACGCCACCGCCGTGACCCCCTCCGCGACCCCCGCGTGACCCCAGGGGGAGGGAGGGAGAGGGCGGCGGCGTTCGCCCGATTCCTGTTGCGGCGACGGCGGGGTCGGAATGGCGCGTGGGCGCTCGGCGGGCAAAAGCGGAACGAAAACTGCGGGGAAAAAGAGATGCGCCGGAGAGCGACGCACGCTGGCGGTTACGCCGAGAGGCAGAAAGAGGAGCGGGTGGGAGAACGGCCCCCCCCATCCACCCCATCCCACTCGCGTCACAAAATAACATCGTTTGGCGCGAGCCCCGCCCGGGGCAGGACTCGTCTCGGCCAGAAGCGACGATGGCCGACGGTCGAGATGGGACGCCGGGAGAGGCGGCCGGAGCGGTGAGATCGTCTCGAGCGTGGCGCAGGCTCCGGGTGGAACGCCGCACCGCACGCGCGACGGACGCGGTGACGGCTCGGAGGAGAGGGAGGTGGTGGGGGGTCATTCCATCCAGCGGTGGATAGATCGCGATCGACGTGCGTGGGAGGATGGGGGGGGGGGGTTGTCCTTGTGGCACGCGGCGCCGGCGGCGACGTTCACGAGCTCCTCCCTTCGCTGGGCGTCCGGTTATCCGCCGAGATCACGCGAGAGGTGGCGATGGCTTGGTGGTGGGGGACCTTTATCCAACGGTGGATATATCGTGGCTGCTTACGATTGCTCTCAAGCACGCGGGCAGCCAGTTCCGCGGACGGGAGCTGGCGGAATGGGCTGGCCCATCTCGAGGGCGAGGAGAAGGAGGAGGAGGTGGGGGATGAGCTGAGGAAGATGAGCAGAGGGAGGACGAGGAGAGGAAGAGCAAGGAGGAGGTGGAGCGGGAGCAGGGGGAGAGGAGGAGGAGGGGGGGGGGGAGGAAGAGGATGAGGCTCCAGCGATGCGGGCTGCATGGGAAGTGCCGATTGATCGATAAATCTGTCTTAGCCCTGCTCCAGCACGAGGGGCCCTGGGAACACAAACCTCAGGCCACAATTGAGCTCTTAATGGAGTGGAGTTTAATGAATTGGGACGGCCTCGCTGTGGCCGGCGTGGGCACGGGGCGGGCGCGGGGACGGTGCCCACGGGAGCGCTCCGGAGCGCCACGTGACCCTCTTCCCTCTTGCTGCCCGGCATCCCGGGTCCATCCCCCACGGTGGGTGCCGAAAGTCCCTCCCGTTTGCTTTTGCCACACGGGCAAATGGGCATCACGGTGGTGAGGAGATGTTAACTACCTCGCCTGGTATGCAGGAGGTC